CTGATCTCAGGACGTTCCTTGGAGGAACCCAGCCTGATCCCAGGACGTTCCTCGGAGGAACCCGGCAGCTTCTAGTCCAGGCTTCAGGAGAACCAGGGATGATGAACAGAGACATCAAAGGACCAACCAACCAGAACCAGAACCAGATTCCTGAATGCTGGGTTGTTACCTGCAGCTGCTGAAGATCCGTCTTTAGCCTGGAGACGCTGCTCTCTGCCTTCACTGCTCGTCTCTGACAAACACAGAGTCAGATGTTAACCACCATCTTTAACATCTATTCTATTTAGTTCTATGCAGAACTTCCTCATCTCATCTCTCTGTATAGATCTAGATCAACCAGATCATCTAGTCAGGGACTGGATGCATAGGTTGAGATAGTAGACTGCTTCTCTCGAGTACGGACTCTGGGACAATGGGAACAGGTAGATGAGACCCGGGGAGAACGAGACCATGTAGAATGGACTAAGGGAGAAGGGGAACAGGTAGATGGGACTCGGGGAGAAGGGGAACAGGTAGATGGGACTCGGGGAGAACGAGACCATGTAGAATGGACTAGGGGAGAAGGGGAACAGGTAGATGGGACTCGTGGAGAACAAGCTGGNGGAGAACGAGACCATGTAGAATGGACTAGGGGAGAAGGGGAACAGGTAGATGGGACTCGTGGAGAACAAGCTGGCCGGACACTCCCTTTAGCTGGCCAGATGCTCGCTCGTATTAGCCGTTGTTTTTGGTCAGATAAACAGATTTTATTTGGGATTTTCCCTTAAAGCGGATGAGTTTTACTTTGGAACTGCATCTGTCTTCTTGTAAGACCCATAAAATTGCTGCTGAAATAGAGCTGGGCTCTATCTCAGGCAAAGCTATGCTGCCCCCTGCATGAAATCATCCACATTGTTCCTCAGATTTCAGTTCTTTTCCTGCTTTATGTATCAACTGTCACGGTTGCTAGGCAACATAGCCTATGGCGGTAAAACCCGCCGAAGGGTAGAACTTTTTGAAATTACAGCCAAAACTCTTCCGGTCTCCTTATTTTCAGGGACTTGGAAGGATCTAGTCTAGGTAGACTGCGTCCTCGGAGGATGCAGCCCATAAATTCGAACAGAGCCAATGTTTTGGATGCTGTCCTGCAACTGTCCTGCTCTGATGATGTCATTTTAAAGACCACTAAGGGGCAAGAGGGGCGTGGTCTCTACTCACCGTCATCAGCTGCAGGTTCTGTTCCACAGACTGGACCATGTTCTCCAGGTCCTGCGCCTCCTTCTCCTCCTGACGCCTCCTCTGCAAGAGCTCCTCGTTCAGCTCCGACACCCTGCAGAGAGGGAGGAAGCACAGAGGCATGCTGGGTAAGCAGGTGATGACATGGGGCCTGGCTGCGCTGAGATTGGTCGGTTCAAACCTGCTCTGCTGGACATGGGCGCTCCTCTGCAGCTCCATGATGGTCCTCCTGAGCGAGGCGTTCTCCTCCTTCAGCTAAGACATGGAGACAGAATGTTGGAGGTTCTGGTTCTGACTGGGTTCTGCCAGACTCAGGGCAGTCTGTGGGTTACCTGCTGGACCTGGCTGCTCGACCCGGTTCTGGTCCTACTGGGTCCGGCTGCTTCACTCACCAACGTCTCATCATCTCCTTCATAGTTCTCTCCTGCGCCTCCTTCTGGTTTGGAGGAAAACCTGGAGTTGCTGCAGAACAGAGCCGCAGCTGAGACCCGCTGGATTCTGGACCTGATTTATAGACCGACTCTGGACCTGACGATACCTGAAGTCGGACCCGTTTAAAGACTGACTATGGACCTGACGGTACCTGCAGTCCGACCCGTTTATAGAATGACTCTGGACCTGACGGTACCTGAAGTCGGACCCGTTTAAAGACTGACTATGGACCTGACGGTACCTGCAGTCCGACCTGTTTAAAGACTGACTATGGACCTGACGGTACCTGCAGTCCAACCTGTTTAAAGACTGACTATGGACCTGACGGTACCTGCAGTCCAACCTGTTTAAAGACTGACTATGGACCTGACGATACCTGAAGTCGGAC